ACCACGAGCAGTTCTGTCTTAGCAAGGTTGAGTTGAAGGTGATGGTTCTTCATCCAGCTAGAAATGTCTCTCAGACAGGCTGCAATGCGAACAGCTACTGTCGGATCATCTGGTTGGAATGAGAAGAAGAGTTGAGTGTCATCAGCATAGCAGTGAAAAGAAAAGCCATGCTTCTGAATGACAGATCCTAATGATAACATGTAGATGGAGAAGAGAAGAGGTCCAAGCACTGAGCCTTAAGGTACCCCAGTAGCAAGACGTTGTGACTTAGAAACCTCACCCCTCCAAGTCACCCTAAAAGACCTACCTGAGAGGTAAGACTTGAACCATTGGAGTGCGTTTCCTGAGATGCCCATCTTTATGAGGGTGGACAGGAGGATCTGGCAGTTAACTGTGTCAAAAGCAGCAGACAGATCCAGCAAGATATCAAGATTTATCAAGTCCAAAGTCAATGCAGCCATCTACCAGGAGATTTTGGAGCACTTTATGCTTCCATCTGCTGACAAGCTTTATGGAGATGCTGATTTCCTTTTCCAGCAGGACTTAGCACCTGCCCACAGTGCCAAAATCACTTCCAAGTGGTTTGTTGACCATAATATTACTGTGCTTGATTGGCCAGCCAAAATGCCTGACCTGAACCCCATATAGAATCTATGGGATTTTCAAGAGAAAGATGAGAAACAGTCAATTCAACAATACAGACGAGCTGAAGGCCACTATTAAAGAAATCTGGGCTTCAATAGTGCCTCAGCAGTGCCACAGGCTGATCGCTTCCATGCCACACCTCACTGATGCTGGAATTTGTGCTTAAGGAGCCTCGGCCAAGTATTGAGTGCATAAATGAACATACTTTAAAGAACTTGAGCTTTTCTGTTTTGCAAATTCTTTTTTTTTATTGATCTTAGGAAATATTCTAATATTTTGAGATACTGGATTTTTTACTTTCATGATCTGCAAGCTTTAATCACTAAAATTAAAACAAAAAAACTTTTGAAATGTTTTACTTTACATGTAATGAATCTAGAAAAAATGAAAGTTTCACTTTTTGAAATAAGTTACAAAAAAAATTAACTTTCACGATATTCAAATTTTTGGAGATGCACCTGTATATATATATATATATATAAATATGAATGCATCAGAAAATCAGTACATTTTCTTTCATACACAGATTTGTTATTAAGAAACCCATAATTAAAGGGGTCATATGATGCGATTTCAATTTTTCCTTTCTCTTTGGAGTGTTACAAGCTCTTGGTGCATAAAGAAGATCTGTAAAGTTGCAAAGACTAAAGTCTCAAATCCAAAGAGATATTCTTTATAAAAGTTAAGAGTCAGCCACACCTACCTAAAACGGCTCGTTCTAACACACCCCCACATACCTACGTCACGATCTCGGAAGATTTGCATAACGCCGCCCAAACGTTCACGCAAAGAAAGAAGGCGTAACTTATATTCTCGCTGTAGTATTGTTGTTGCCGCCGCCATGTCGTAAAGACGCTGTGTGCTTCGTTGTAAAAGCGAAACTACTTTGTTTGGTCTTCCAAAAGAGGACAATATCCGCTTCGTCATGCCTAGAGCTGATCCGTGCTGGTCGCTGAGGAAATACAACAACTTTGCGCTGTGGATCACCGGATCGGCTTTCACCATGGACGAAGCGGAGTCCAGCCCGGAGCCGTCACATGTCCTTCCGGACGCTCCTTCGTCAATTTCGCCGGCCGCGAGGGCAGTGTAGAGTAAGGCTTGTTGTTTGTAATTTCTCCGATCACAAATGTAGACATGGTTTTATGTTTACGCGGCGCGATGCAACACAGCGCGTAAAAAGACAGTGTAAGTCATAATAATCCGTAATTATGTCCCCACTGGATGCAACAAATGCCTCGTTTGTAATGGGTTTTAATGTTTATGTCTCGTCGCTCCGGCCGGACACGGCATCAACAGTATGGTGAGGGGCGTAACATTTCCGTCTCACGCTTGAGGTATTCGGCCAATCACAACGCACTGGATAGCTGGCCAATCAGAGCACACCTCGCTTTTTCAGACCGATGAGCTTTGTAAAAATCGACGCGTTTCAAAAAGGCGGGGCATAGAGGAGAAACAATAATGTACAGTATGTGGAAAATAATGTGTTTTTTAACTTTAAAATGCACAAACACATTTCATTACACCAAATACACAAAATAATGTTCTTTTTAGCAGCATCATATAACCCCTTTAAACAATCATCTACACACCGACATGCAGCACACAAAGGGAAAATCAATTTGACATTTAATCTGTCTGGTTAAATCATTCTTCCAATGTCATTTATCACAAAGATGCTTAAACAGACCATTGAGTTATTTAATATTATTTGGCACAAAGAAATGTTAATTAGACGCTACATTCTGAAACAATGAGCACTATTCACATTTTTCAGTTCACTGAACACACTCTTTACCTTCCTAATTGCACAAAATTCTGCAAACAGTTTGTTCTAAATTTGGAGCAGGTGAGCTGAGCCAAGACGACAGAAAGAAGGTGCGAAAGCGGTTGGACATCAGAATCACTTTGCGGTGAGAACACTCTGTTCTCCCACATGATCCAACAACATTAAAAGGCCTCTGAAAATGTGATGTCAGACAGCACTTTAGTAAAACAATCAACAATCAATCACTTTAAAAAATATTTACCATTCGGTCCAGCCTGACCTAGTGTGATCATCTGAAGCATCTCCTTTCCTTTAAAGTGTAAATTCAGTTCCAGTCATGCAGTGAAAGATTAGAGTGAGCAGAAATGACCAACAATGCAGCCTACTATACTCACATTAACTTAGACCAAAATTGTAAAGCCAAACCAAAATATGTAAAGATATACAGTATAACAAAACTTCAAACCCCAGTCCTATCCCAGGATTGTAGAAGCAAATAAATAAATATAGCTTGTTAACTATAAGATTAGACACTTTAATGGATATTTAATTGTTAGGCACAGAGCAAAACAAAAATGTGAATCATGAAATTAAGAAACAACTTTAAATCAGTAAGCCTGAACAAATACCAGAAAAGTGAATACCACTGAATGTGTATGTATGCATGTAGGCCTATATTAAAAACAGCTCCACAAGTTATCATAAACATGTTTGTGACCCTGGACCACAAAACCAGTCATAAGTAGCACGGATGGCTTCAGTATGCATAGTATTTAGATAATATAGCTAATTTAATGCTATAATAAACACAAATGTGACCCTGGACCACAAAATGTATTATATTTGTATATTTGTACAATACATTGTATGGGTCAAAATTATCGATTTTTCTTTTATGCCAAAAATCATTAGGATTTTAAGTAAAGATTATGTTCCATAAAGATATTTTGTAAATTTCCTACCGTAAATATATCAAAACTTAATTTTTGATTAGTAATATGCATTGCTAAGAACTTCATTTGGACAACTTTAAAAGCAATTTTCTCAATATTTTGATTGGTTGCACCCTCAGATTCCAGACTTTCAAATAGTTGTATCAGCCAAATATTGTCCTATCCTGAAAGCTTATTTATTCAGCTTTCAGATGATGTATAAAACTCAGTTTTCAAAACAATTGGACACTAAGGCATCTTGGATCACTCTTACATCATGACATGAAGGCTTTCTCAGTGGGTTTCTGGTACAGCGAGCAGCTCTTTAAGGTAAAACTTGTACATTAAAATTTAGTTGTGAGTTTTAAGGTTGTGTTCACACACAAACTTTAAAGAGCCATTAATACTTGACAACAATGACAACTTGCATTCAAAAAAAAGGTAATTAATTTAGTGATTTCTTTTTTTGACTGTTTTTTTACCCTCAGGTTGAAATCAACTGAGTAAACAGTATGTGAATACTGGGGATTTTTTTGACATGGTCTCAAACTGGTAGTATAGGCATCACAAATGGCATCAGTTCATACTATGAGTGGCCCTTATGACTGGTTTTGTGGTCCAGGGTCACATTTTTTATGCAAATCCCTAATTTTTGTATTAATATATGAATAATGGTGCTACTGAAGCCTGAAGTCATGTTTGCTCCTTATCTCTCTCTGATGCTGGCCTGCCTAAATGCAGATGGTCTTTATGAGAATAAACAGAAGATTACATAATGTTTACAGCAATATTTTAAATATAAAATTCTCTTTCATGTGATAAGACATTCACATGAAAGTTAACATGGTGAATTTGCGCTATGGGATTTTACAGAAGGCTTGTGATGAAGTAACTGTATTTTGTTTGAGGTGTTTATCAGAGCTATTTATCAGAGACAACACGCAATACTGCATTCAATTCATACACAGAGCGGAGAAGAGTGGACTTGAGCTAGTAAATACACACAATGCAGCTGTGAGGGATTTTAAACACATATATTTATGAATTAAGAATTCAGTCCCTCATTTTATTATTCTGTTCCCTAGTTTGTTAAATTGTGGCCATGTTGTCAGAGAGAGAATGGAAAATGAATGTGTTAAGGGAAAAATTATCTTAATGTACAGTACAACAATATAATTATTCACAATCTTCTTTCTTTTCTTTCTTTTTTAAGAGAGTTATTCATCTAATGATTTCAAAAGAATATAATGGTTACTATTCCAGCTGAGCTACTTGATGCATCACCACTTTCTTTAGCTAAATTATATTGAATTTGTTGTCATAAATGAAAAATGTAATGACAAATAAAGAGGACAGTCATAAATAATTATAAGAAACTGTCAAGATAACCAATCCCCTATGGTGGTTTGGATGTAACATCACACCCTTGATGGTTAAAAGTGGCTTTAAAAGATCCAGCAACCACAGAGAACAAGATGCATCAGAGGGTTAATTAAGATAATTATGTTAAGTACGTTTTTGGAACAGGAAACCTTGATTAAGTGGACCAGAGGAAGAAAAATAAAATTCTCCAAACTGTATGATATAAAATTCTGTTTGCTTGACTGACATTTATTCTCCAGCTCTTGAAATACAATAGAATCTTCTGGGACAGGTCCATCCTATAGCTACTGCTCTCTCAGAGCACTTCCACAGGGACAGTAGATTGCAGGGTCCACACTAAGGCATCTTGGATCACTCTTACATCATGACATGAAGGCTTTCTCACTTGGTTTCTCACCTCATCCACGTTTTCGAAAGCGTTGATGATGTCATAGGGCAGACAGGACAGCAGGTCTATTACGAACCAGGTCTTCAGGTAGTTCATCCTGATCAGCTTCGGATCCGAGATCACCTCCCCTCCAGGCCCGACAAACGTGGTGTGGAAGTTGAGCACGATGTCCACAAGAAATATGACGTCCACAACGCTGTCCAGAACCAGCCAGGTGACATTATTCTGTTTGGTCTTGAAGGAGACGTTGTAAGGAACCATGATGGCGGTGTAGAAGGTCAGGATGAGGATGACCCAGTCCCAGGTGGTCTTAAAGGTGCAGTAGTGTAAGATGATGTGAGGTGGGGTCTTAGGGGCTTCCTGCTTATACTGCGGAAGAATGTCAGAGCCGAGCTGAAGCACCTGAGAAAAAAAGAGATAGAGAGTGAAGGATCTAAAACGAATAAGAATTTAAAATCCAATGGCAGTTAAATTCTTAAATTTGACAGTAATATTTATTTTGAATATGACTGTAGGAAAATGCCTGGTCAAATTATTCGTTTTACAATTATTTAGTATAATTTATCAATTTGATAATTAAACTAAATTGACCACCTTAATTTTTTCCCAGTTCTTTTGACATTGCTAATAAGGAGATTATCTTAAGGGACAATGAGAGTGAAAATGAAATGAAATATAGAGGGCCCTAAGGAAAGTGAGTTTGATTTAAATATTAATTCTAGCTCTGGATAATTTCCACCCTTCCCTAGACAATACACTGTTTGTTGTATACTATGCATGTTCATATAAACAGAACATGAAGTTTACTCAGAGATTTAAAGCTATTTCCCCTTCTAGAGAGAGACAGTGAAGAACTGTTGGATTCAAATGTGAAAATGGCTGCATATAGTGTGTTAAATTTTGATTGTTAATAATGTCAGTCTAAATCAAGAGGAGACCTTTACTCTTAGAATAAAGAAAAAATAAGTTCACAAAAATTATAAAATGTAAAGTTTACAAAAAGAATAGTCTGAAAGAATTAAAATGCATGTTAAAAATTCAATCAACAACATCTATGGCACATTTGTGGCAAAAATAATTTTTACAAGCTTATTTTCTTTACAAAAAGGCCAAATTCAATTGATGCACACTGTACAATGGAAGTGAAAGGGGCCAATTTTGGAGGATTTAAATAATTTATTGAAGCATTAATTCTTCTGTTAAATTATTATTTGAGCTGTAAAGTTGTTCTCATCATTTTTACAGTTGTTTAGGGCTATAGGCATTTTAACTGGATGTAATTGCACAAAAAAGCTAGTAAGCTCTAAAATCACATTAATGCATTTAATCTTTATGTCTTGTGGCAAGACTTTTGAAACTATACGTATTTTAATGCTTGCATTAATTTCCGTTGTAGTACGGAGAAAAAGGTCAAAATTCATTTTTATTACTCAATATTTTCACAAGTACTGTCGATTAAGTTTAACATAAACTGAACCCAGAATCATCCTTTAAGTAATTCAGGATGAATGAATTGGGGAAATTTAATACTTGGTGATTTAGTGATTAATAACGACAGAAAGGCGGGGCATAGAGGAGAAACAATAATGTACAGTATGTGGAAAATAATGTGTTTTTTGAACCTTAAACCGCATAAACACATTTCATTACACCAAATACACAAAATAATGTTCTTTTTAATGCTGCCTTGCAAACACTGTAACAGTACAGATCAGAGACATTAATCCATCATAAAAGTCTCGCAAAACAAACCCGTCCTTGAATGCTTCCCTCATTAAAAACTCTTCCAAAGATTTAGGCACAATATAGTATGTAAGGATTGTTCCTTACAGACACAAAAAAACAACAACACATTTCACTCCTCTTTAACACCATCACACAACAGTGACGGAGCAATAACTAACAGATGAGAAAAGCAGAAAAGTGAACAGGGGTTATGGGACACACACATACAGTACACACTTCATCAGTGTTAATTATTAATAGCAGCTTCTGGCAACCCACTGTAGACTTCTGCTGTCCAACAGACACGTGTGAGATTGCGTTACAGCAGCGTCCTGTGTGTGATTCTATTACAAGTTTGTCCTCCGTGAGATGAAGTTTGAATAACCTTGTACTGCGCAGTCAAGGATGTAAGCAAATGCTGCCTGTCTGTGTGTGTGTGTGTGTGTGTGTGTGTGTGTGTTCTCACCTCTGCGAGTCTGGACTGTTTGTGTGAAGTGATGTCGGTTCTGCTCATGGGCGTGAGTTGCTGATTGGTGCTTTTGCTGTTCGTCAACGCTCGAGTCAAACGTGCAAACTTGGTCCAACCTGCAAGAAACATATGATGCGTTTTATAAATGCTACACTGAATTGAAAGACAGATGCAGTGAGTTCATAATATTATGTGTCTTTCAGTTCAATTTAATTAAATTCTGTGGTGTTTTTATAAAATACTCTGCACAACTGAATTCAGTTCAGTATTTTGCTTTAATGAAAGTTCTGTACACATGAAGCATGAATCTGAGATTTTTTATAAAAAGTTTCACAAGCTCCTTGTCATTTGTTGAAGTTTGTTAATTTGTTTAATTAATGAAAATATTGTGGATGTTATAAATAAAAATACAATTTGGGGTCAGTAATTTATATATATATATATATATATT